AAAATTAAATATATCTGCCACAGTTTGGAAATGTTCTTTCATATGCACAAACTAGGACCAGGAACCAGTCTGCCTAAAATCTCACTTCATTATAAATTCATTCCTATCTTACAAAAATTACCAGGTTTCTGTGGCCGTGCAGGTAACTCTTCATTAAATAACTCCTGGTAAGTCTGAGAGGTCTTTAGGTTCACCTTTTGTTTCACCAGCACAGGGTGAGGAGAGACATTTCAGGGTAGCAGGTATTTATATCTTTCCTAAGCTCTGCTATGGGATGAGTTTAGTCCACTGGAGAAGCTTGGAAAATCAGATCTCATCAAGATTGCTGAAGGTGGTGAAATGAAAAGTAGTTATAAATAAAATTGAAAAGTAAGATTTTTTTTTTTTAATCCTGGAATAAAGAAGTCGTTGGAACACTGCCATGAGAAGGAATGGGTCCTTGCTCAGGGCACCTCCAGAGGGAATGCAACCTGGATATGTCACGGTGTAAAAGAGGGACCAGATTTCCAGGTCATGGCCAGAGTCTTGCTCGAGCAAGGTGTGCAGGAGACCTAGGGCCAAAAACTAAATAGAAGAGGGAGACTTCTCTAACCTAGGATTATGCAAGTGGTCTGGAAGAAAGCTCTAGGGACATTTTACTTCTTGTGTGGTTAAAGTTAAGTGCATACATACTGTAGGGAGAAGGAGTGTTGGATCCAGTTCTCCATATCTGCAGATGACTCTGGCTTGCTTCCCAACTTCTGGGGTTGCTGTCCTGACCTTACACCCTCTTGGGGCTTCCTTGAGTCAGGAGCCCTACTTTCCCAGCCAGCAAGAGTGATACCCGAGTCCTTATGGCACCTCTCAGGAGTGGCTGCCCCCCCGCCACTTAACCCATTGCTTTCCACTTCACCCGTGGGTATTTGTGTCACTAGATCATAGAATCATAAAGTTATCTAAGTTGGAAAAGACCTCTAAGATCATCGAGTCTGACCATTAACCCAGCACTGTGAAATCCACCACTAAGCAATGTCAGCACATGGCACATCTGCCTGTCCTTTAAATACCTCGGACATGGGAACTCCACCACTTCCACGGGCAGCCTGTTTCAAAGCTTGACAATCCTTTTGGTGAAGAGATTGTTCCTAATATCCAGTCTAAGCCTTCACTGGTGCAACCTGAGGCCATTTCCTCTGGTCTGATCACTTGTTATTTGTGAGAAGAGGCTGACCCCCACCTGGCTACACCCTCCTTTCAGGCAGTTGTAGAGAGTGATAAGGTCAACCCTGAGGCTCCTTTTCTCCAGACTAAACATCCCCAGCTCCCTCAGCGGCTCCTCATCAGATCTCTTCTCTACACCTTTCACCAGCCCCTGTTCTCTCAGTCCCCCAGCCAGGCAGCTCTGGATGCCAGGAGGGTTGTCCTGCAGGTGCTGCTGTTCCCTGCAGAGTGAGGGTGGAGGAAAAGAATGAGGAGTGCAAGCTCATCCTTCACAGGCTTTTCAGAGGTGTCTGCCTCTCTCCATGTATGCAGCAGGGGATGTAGACAGCTGGCATAGACAGGTAGGTACCTATCCTGTTTGTCCCCAAGACCAGGCAGCTTCAGTTTCAGACAAGTCACCAAAATGAGGTAGTTGGCACAGGCACACTTGACAGGACCCACTGCTTTCTTTCAGATTGTCTTACTGATGAAAATGTCCTGGTTTCTGAGCAGGAAAATGAGGGCAGGAAGAACCACAGGGTTGGACTGCCATTCTGCTGTGCAGGACTTTCTTTTATCTCAGCTCAGCAATATCGCTTCAAAATAAACAACAAAATAAGCAACAAAATAAAAATAATATGTAGAGAAGGACCTATACAATCATAAAATATCAGGGCCACCCTCCACTCCCAGCTTTAAGAAGTCAAGTGTAACAGTTCCACAGCATTTGGGCTGACTGCTTTAACCTCTCATGGGTGGTTAATACTACCTAGCAGAGGAGAAAAAAGTTTAGAATTGTAAAATACTCTTTCAATCCTGATAGTAATTACCTCTTAGCAAAGTTAGTGCTTTGCCAACTCAAAGAGACCTAATCCCCTTCTGTCATAGGAAGAGAAAAAATGTAATAGCTGTGAGAACTGTGAAGCTTATTTTCAAATAGATGCCTCAGCATTTTGATATTTTCTATGGGATTAACTGGTAACACAGGAAGGCTAATACATATGCAGAGCTTTCATTTGCTTCTGTACCAATTTGCCTTGGGGCAAATTGAACTGTGTCATGAGAAATGGTGTTGTTTGCCCTCTTTCTTTGTCAGATGAAGGAAAAAGACTTGTTAGCAACATAGAAACAATTTGCAACTTATTGTCGTTTCAGAGAAGGTCTCTCCTTGCCTCCTATTTCTGCTTAAGTTTCTCTGCTTTACAAACAGAAAGGGCTGTCATTTTAGAAGCACAGAAGCCACACAATGAAAAATGTAAAAGCATCTGTGCTAACGTAAAATAGAACTGGAGCTCTTTCTGTACTGATCTGTTGCACTCACATCGTTGCTGCTCTCTCAAAAAGGAGAGATGATTTGCTCTGCTCTGTATAACTCTGGCCCTAAGGGTGGCTTTGTGCTGTGCCTCTGAGGCTGGCTCTGCGAGCATCTGGTGCTGATGGGCACAGGCAGCGATGGCTGCAGAATATTAATGCTGTCCCTGGCTCCCACAAGGCTCCACTTCTGAAAAATGCTTCAGCCATTCAGTGTCCATGCACCATGCTGAGCAACGGGAGGGGAGAAAAGCCGTGCTCAGGGTTTTGGTTTTTTTTTAATGCAGAGCAAAAAGCTGACAGCAACGATGGCTCTGTGCTTCACATTGTTGTGCCCAGGCTTCTTTCAGAGCTACAGTCATTTATATGCATAGATATCAAGCCTGTCACTTGTTGCAGGCTTTGATAGCATTTGTGTAACACAGGAATCAGAGAGAAAAAAAAGCTGAACATCTTCTATTCCAGTCTTAGAAAATGAATGACTGTGTAGTTATCAGGTTTCAGGTTTTATTAGATCACTGTCCTCTGCAATTTGTTTTCCTTCCTCTTCTGCTGTCTGATGTAGAGGACCACGAGAGCACCTCCCCCACTCCTCTTTTGTCTTTCTCCCACACTGTGACTACCCACAGGGGGTATCTCAAAGAATTACCTACCAGTAATGATTGCCACAGCTCTTTTTTCTTCCATTAGCCATCTGACAAAGTCACTCCACATCACCCATTTCACGCAGAGATACGAGAACTCTGCCATAACTGTACTTTTGGTTATTTACTTGGTTTTTGTTTATCTCCCCTAGGCAAGATGCTCGCTTGCTATTTGCTCTGCATACTTTCTGCAGCTTCTAAATTGAGGCCGGCATTGTGTTTACCAGTCATCTCTGTCTGCAAAGCTATGCAGTTGCATCTAAATTTTCTCTGGCTCTTGCAGCTATTCTATATTGAAAGACAACTGAAACACACTACTCGCACAAAGCTGCTTTTCCATTAAAGCAATTGGTGAAGTATCACAAGAATGTTGTTCTGATGCCAGGAGGGAGGAGGGAGAGGTTTGTACTGATTGCTAATAGGAGGGGGAATAGCCTTTGAGACAATCCCCTTATTAAATGTGGTCTGCACAATGAAAACTTGGGAAGCCTTTCTAAGGCTTCTCACATTTCGGCTTTGTGCCCAAGCTCAGGGTCTCAGACATGGAGGTGGTTTCAGAATACCACACAAGGGGAACCGTTTCAGCAAAAATATCAAGGTTACTTGATTAATTTATTAAGCTGTCTTGGATCACCATGCCTCTTTCTTGGCTGTAACTCCAGCAGAATAAAGTAACAATTTCTCCCTAGACCTCTAAGCAGCCATTGCTCTGCTGGGCTATCAAAGACGTTTCAGGGACAAACAAGAGATAGAGCCCCTCTGAACATTGCCAAGGTTAACTAGACATAGGTTTTTTCTCCTGAGTAAGTGTAACTTTTTTGTGCCTCCTCCCTTTACAAGTCTTCCCTAATCTTAAGAAAACCTTGAAGCAGTAGTATTACAGTCTTGGTAGTCTGAAGATATAAACAGTGCAGGATTTGTAGAGACCAGTAATATATTTTCCTAAAGAAGGATGTGTGCCTTAAGGCTTGTCTGTTTTTGTTTTTTTTTTTTACCAGCTGTATCAGTAGGTCTAATAAAAGATATTACCTTTCCTCACAAACCTTGCCTTACTTATTAGAACAGTTGCCTCCAGGATATAAAACACTTAACTGTGTGTGAAACTCCAGTGTCAGAGTGATGGAGTTCAGTGGTGTGATTCCCATGCCCTGAGCCAGCTGGCAAAATCGAAAACAAGGTGGGATGAACACGCTCCATCCTTAACATTCTGTGCATCATTTTTGTTCCTTACACCCCTACTCTACATCAGTATTTTTGTCTTTCCTACTTCTCAGCTGTATGGAACAGGTCTTTTCTAACACAGAAAAGCACATTGAGTAGCATCTTTTGGATGCAATCTCAGAGAAACAGCAACTCTTACAGTATGCTTGATGAAACTTTTCTCTGCCTTCTGATTATTTTCTTGGTTGCTATATCACTGTGTATTTTGTTGTTGTTGTTTACCACAAGTGAGATTCAGGGAGATGGAGAAAAAGAAAAGCCCACTGTGACTGAGTAGACTGTTTCTCCTTTAAGGGTCACCTAGGTGTTGTCAGCTTGGTTGCGAATCTTAAAGGACTTTTTTTTTTAATATTTCAGGTGAACTTTCCGTGGAAGGCATACAAGACCCATTCCTTGTTAGTGTACATATTATCACAGACCCAGGTGAATCCAAGACTCTTCAGCAGGCCATTGATAAGCTTCTAGCCTGGATCCATCCAGACCTGCAGCTGTTTCGGGTCTCAGAACGACGAGTGCCCAGGAAGCGCAGGAAGCCGGCCAAGGCTGGCGTTTCTCAGCCAGCCCTTGCTGTCATTCTGTTCCTGCAGGAGGAGTATGGAGAAGAACCCATCTTGCAGCTCCATGAAACTTTTCAGAGGCCACCTTGGCATTACCACCACACAGAGCTAATGCATGGGAAATTCCTCCCTTACATGCCATGCAGCCAAGACTTTTACACTTTGGCTCCAGAGACTCCCCTGTGGGCCATTCGCCCAGTGCACTACGGGAAAGAAATGATCCGCTTCACCATATACTGCAGGAGTGAAAATTTTGTGGACATTTTGAAATTGTATGAGTTAATACTAAAAAGACCAATGTGTCAGAAGAAAGCAGACTTTTGTGTTTTTCCTGTCTATTCCAACATGGAAATAGACATTCAGTTTTCTTTAAAAAAGCTCCCAAAGGGACAAGTTCCAGTGAGGACAGAGTCAGCCGTGCTGGAGTTCAGAGTAAAAGATGTGGGGCAGCTTGTTCCTCTCTTGCCCAACCCTTGCAGCCCCATCAGTGAAGGCAGGTGGCAGACAGAAGACCATGATGGAAATAGGATCCTTTTGCAGGTAAGCTCAGTACACAGGGAAATAGAAATACATTTCTTGGTTTTGTGCAGGAAAGCTTAACGTGCGTTGACAGTTGCCCTTTTCTTGGTTGGTTGATTTGCTGGTTTTTTTGCTCTATCCTTGGAGCAAGAGCCAGGATAATACTGCTGAAGAAGGAACTTGAAACCCCTTGCTGTGTTGTGTAACTGATCACAAAAGCAGTGAATGATGTTATCCAGATATCAGTCAACCTCAGTTTATGCTAAGAGTGATGTGAGATGAGATAGCTGTTTAAAAAAATGAGGAGAGAAGGAATTATGAGCCCAAGTGGAGAAATCATGGCTGGTGAGTGTAGTTTTATAAGAACTATGGGCACAGAACTGACAGGGAGTTTTAAAATAGCCCTCAGTTATGAGACTTTTATGGAAGACAAGCAGAAGTCCTAATGGTACTCATTATTTTCTAACATCAATGGATGACAAGCTGCATCTCTTTTTGCACAGTGGTTATCAGGATGAAGACAGAGGTGATGGAGAAAAAGAAATGTGCCCTGAAGAGCAGCCTAAGAAAGACATTCCCACAGACTCTCTTTTTGAACTAACCTCAAGTGGTCATAACCAAATCCTGAGAGTTTGTTTGTTAGGACATCTGTAGGCACCATATCTGGGCAATATATCAGCATGCTCTGCTCCACTACACCACATCCAAGGGAGATAAAAGGATAAGCTGCAAACTCTTAATAGCTGCCTGCCCTGCAGAGGGGTGTCTGTGGCAATCCAGAACCAGGTTAATGTGCATTCTGGCACTGCAAAGATATTTATTGTTGCTTACATTCAAATCAAGGAGCACAGTCGCTCACCTTTATAAGGCTGTTGTTCGGATTTCAAAGGGTATTCTTTTGGAGTGAATTTCATTCATGTGGCTTGTCCAGTTGTCTGCCCTTGTTTCTGTGGAAGACTGTTGTGGGTGCCATCCTTTCACCACACAGACCTCCCAGCATGCAGAGAGGTGTGCACAACCCTCTGTAGTGCAGTGCCTCTGGGTTTGTAGTTCCTGAGACTGAAATTCCAGGTACACAGGACATCTCTGCTCTGGTGAGTCATATCCAGGTGGTAGTGGAACCTTTCAATGCTGCTTGGCAGATGCCACCCTCAGAGAAATCCCATGCCAGAGCTGAGTAACACTTGTGAAGAGCTGAGGAGGGCAGCTTCCTTGCCCATCTGGCAAGACAGTCACCAATTTGTCAGGGTTACTGATTGCACTTTAGGCATATCTGTGTTAGCCCAAGATAAGTTGCAAGCTGAAGCTAACAAGTCATCACCAAACTTATACACAGCAACCACACTCACCTGTGTCTTCTTTTCCCTGTTCTTCCTCAGGAGGTTTCTGCTATGTGATATAACTTTGGTTTATGGGACCTTACATTGGTTTCAAGCAAATTGAAGGGAAGAGTAAAAACGAAAACAAAAAAATACAGGGCTTCTAAATAGGGCTTTTGGTTTAAACCCAGCCAATTTTCAGAAGTAAAAATGCCAGACAGTGTAGAGGTAAAGTGAGACTTGCTGAGCAAAGAAAATCAGAATGAGATTTTAGCCATATGAACCAAAAAAAGAAGAGCAGAAACCTGCCTTAGTATGGCCTGCAAGTACAATTTATTTTCATTTCAGTTTTTGGTGAGGATGATGATTCTGAGCAGGAGGATAAAATAGCAAATGAGAATGAAGTTACAGAAATGGAATACATCACTCTGGAAGTCTGGTGATGCAAAAGAAGTTTAGTATATGCAAAGTGGAGGGAAAACAGAGACTTTGGAACTAATGCCATTTTAAAGTCATGAAAACTAGGTCCTGGTATATGGGTTTTAAGCAAGTCTGTACAATAAGAAGTGGAGCTCTACAGCTAAATCAAAGGGAAAATTTCCTGTTACTCAGATACCTACAGCCAGCAGTGCAACATGACCATGAAAAGAAAATTGCAGTCTCTGGTGTGTACCAGAGTTACTGTGCCATAGGAAGCACGGGAAGCTGCACAGGGTCCCAAGGGCCACGCTTGTCTTCAGCTCTGGACTCCAGAAAGGTGACCTCAGAAAGGTGCAGGGACAGGGAAGGGCTCTCACCCCACGCAGAGGAATGGAGAGACAGTCCTACAAAGGGGAACTGGAAGAGTAGGGTCACCTGAGCCCAACCAAACTAAGTCTGAAGGGAGCTCTGACTGGAAGACACACCACAAGATAAACAGCACGAACAGGAAAAGGCTGGTTCACTCTGTGATTGTTTTGATACAGGAGCAAGAACCTGCCAATAATTAAAATTCAGTACATATTCATAGCTAACTACATAACATCCACCCAGCAGATGGATTGCAGCAGATGCAATCAGGTTAATACTTTAAGACAGGATGGTCAGTTAGGGAGAGGAAATGATGGAGCATGGGTTATAGGAAACATCAGATTTGGTGATCCATGGACTGCTTATATTAATTCAGTTCATTCTAAGTTCAAAGTAATTATAGTATCTACCTTTGAAAGTAACAAGACTACACTTGGATTTCTCACAGAGAGTTGTTATTAGCAATATTATCCATGCCACAGCATTGATGATAACTTCTTCCCAGTTATTTAAATGTAAACAATGACCTCTCAATATTTTTCAGTCTCCATATCAGTTGATAGTTAGTAATCATCAGAATGGTTTTATTTACTTTATACAGATACTGCACCTTTTAAAATTATAGTTGTCTATAATAGTCTACCAAAAATGGTAGACTAACATCCCTGTTAAATTGCAGGCAGTGTTTAAAGTTTGAAGTTTGAGTATACTTCCATGTTTAAGCTAATGAGATGTGACCACTTGCTTGTCCTGACAGGGAATTGGATACTTGCCAGCCAGATTGGTCCATGTTCTTAATCCATTTTGCAAATGCAATTATCAAGAGTCTTAGATAAAGTCAGTTCAAGAGACAACAAAGTTATTCATGGGTAAGAGAAATCTGTTTAATGCCAAGAAAGTATTCCTTCATTTGCAAGGAAGCCCTTCAGAATTATTTTGACACAATAGCTTTTAAACATTGGCGAATTGCTCCAAGGGTGCAGGTATATAACAGCAGAGGCAAAGGGTTCAGTTGGCTGGAGCAGGAGCAAGGCTTAGGAACAGGATTGCATCCTATGGAAAGACACCCACAGTGCTTCGCCAGAGATAAGCCCAGAAGCAGGAGCTCTGGGGAGCTTTTGTCAGAGCAGTGGGAAGAATATGTAAATAGTGTAGCTAAGAATATACCATATACTGATATACTGAGTATACTGCTGGATTTATAGGTCTTGCCCAGATTCTTGGCTGCCTCTGGGCATAATCCACACAGAGACAGATGAAGTGCTAATCAACTTGCACTCCTGGCAGTGCAATGTGGGAAACAGGAAAGGTTAATAACTGATTGGACTGGCTTGGCCATGCATGTTTGGGAAGCAAGGATACTTAGCAGAGAGGAGAAAGTGCACAGATGTCTTCTTTAAATTATGATAACATCTCTGGATAGAGTAGGAAAAGTAAAATAATATTTTGGCAGGATTTCCTAGCCACTCTGATTGAGACGGAACGTGCAGACATACCCAGGAGGAAGGTGGATGCCAGAAAAATGAATATCTTACCTAGGTAGAGACTCAGCACTTAAGCTTAGGACCTGCTGCCATGAGGTCCCTTTATATGCCAGAGTCCCTGTGCAGTTTATGAGGTGGCTATTTTCTGCCTAGTGTGGCTTTATAAGGCGTCCTTGAAATAACACTGCAAATGTTAACAGATCACAGCTTACAAGGAGGTAGAGGGATTCTTCTTTTAGCTGATTTGCTGAATTAATCGGCCAATGTTCTTATCTGTATGGGGCAACTGTAATCTTGAGTTGAGAAGTGGTATCGTGTGTTTTAGGAGTAGACGTGGTGGCCATAACTGATCAAGGAGTTGGGACAAGAGGACTGGGTTAGGACAAGTGGAAAAGGACAGCTAAGCCAGGGTCAGAGAAGGCAAAAAGACAAAAACAGGCAAAGAAAGGGCACTTTTGCAGAGAACAGTTCAGTCTGCAGGAAAGGAAATGGGGGTGAGAAAAGACCTTCAATCCTGCTGAATTATTATACTTAATATTGCAGATAGAGCAGAATTGAGCACCGAGAGAAAGAAAGGCAAGAAAAGCAACCACTGGAGCAGGTTGCCCAGAGAAGCTGTGGATGTCCATCCCTAGAAGTGCTCAAGGCCAGGCTGGATGGGGCTTTGAGCAACCTGGTCTAGTGGAAGGTGTCCCAGCCCATGGCAGGGGGTTGGAGCTATACAGTCTTTAAAGTCTCTCCCAACCCAAACCATTCTATGTCTTATGACAGGCAAGGATGTGTACAGGGAACCTTTACAAAATTTATATTTGTTTTCTTCTGAAACTGGTGACATACTTTCAGAGCAAAAATTGACTCAGTCGAGGGAGGTGCCATGAACTGATTTAATTAATCTGCACATCTAATACTAGTCTCCTGTTTTTTAAAATATTTTAATCTATTTTTTCCTTTCCTTTATGTGACATAAGTGTTTGGTTGTCCTTAATGCTATGTCTGGGTTTTGGGGGAGCATAGAGAATCAATCACTAACTCATATAAGAGATTTTTACTTGTTTTTCTTCAGCCTAAGGTACTTTCTCAGTTAAGTTCTGTGGCACACTAGGATCCTTACAAATTTATACACCCAGCAAAAATTCTTGAGAGTGAATATCTTTTGTGTTACAAAGCATTCAACTTATATATTTTTGTAAACACATTACAAGCCATTTTTCAAAGAGGTTCAATTTTAAATCAAATCTGTGCATTTTGTGCTTTTGAAATGCTGTGCTTCTGACTATTTGGCTTTCAAGTAAGACTTACTATGATGAACCTGAGGGCTAATCTCTGCCACTTTTTCTTGTGTTGATTTTTTTTTCCCTGGATCAATTCCACTGGTTTTAATACAATTAAACGAACACCACTGCAGTCCTGTTGAGCAAGGCAGGCAAAATCTGGGCTCGAGATGGTGATGTCATTGCTGTGCTGGCTGGGTCCTGACCTCAGCAAAGCCTTGCTGGCAGTTCTTAATGCAGATAATGCTTAAGGAGATCTCTATCTACTTTCTTAAAAAGCAGTTAACTTAAAATAGACTGCAGCAACACTCATGGATCTTTTTCTGTTAGGTCCCAGCAGCCCAAGTTGAAAGTGCATTTCTGAAAGGTTCACCCCAAGTTGTTTATGGCATTCCCGGATATTCATCATGAAATTCTTCTGCAGCCCATTGTAAAACACAAAGACTCTTAATCCCTCCAGGCTTCACAAAGATTTGTGCAGAGATTATAAATGAGCAGCAGATTAACACCAGATGAAAAAATCTGTTCTGTTAGAGAGCTAATCTGTTCAGTCAGTGGCCGGGTTTGCTGCAAGGTTTGACAAACCTATCTTCCTGCATTTGGCATTTCTGTCAAAATCCACGTGTCACTTTGCATTGTCTTTGTCCTCTCAGGTGACTGATGCCCTCCCTGGCACCTCCCTGGTGCTTGTGCCTGTTGCAGACAGCAAGGCTGTACCAGGCAGGCTCTGCCAGGCAGCAGGGAGGCAACAGGCAATGCTGGGAGCATTAGCAAGCTGTGAGAAGGCTGACCATGAGGACTTGAAAAATAAAAGGACTCAGAAAAGATGCAATTGTTTTCAAAGCCGGTGGCACGATTAAGGAGGCAGAGAAGCCTTCTCCAAAGCCTGAAGAGGAGTGGTCTTGGTGCATGCACAGGTTGTGTGCAGTGCTCAGTGTGCCATGCCAGGGTGGCACAGGGGAGCACTGTCAATGGCCTTGGCACAGGACAACGAGCTAGTTTTGCCTGACTTTTAATCCTGGCTAAATCATTGAATCCCCTCTATGATCTCTGACAAGTTAGAGAATGTAGATATAGAAAAGTCTTATTAGTCCACATAATCCAGTTCTCTACAGTACAGGATTAGCCTATAATCTTTAGTCACTAGTATTTCATGGGATGGAGCTTCTGACACACTACCTGTGGTACAGGGTTCTACCTGTAGTTCACTACTGCTGCTTGTACTGTCTGGTGTTCTCACAGCCAGGAAAGTCTTTGGTTACGTTGCTTTAAAATGAAAGTATTAAAATAATGTCTCTCAATTTTTTTTATTTCCCATTTCTGCCTATATAATGAACTGTAGCATTGCAAAATAGGTCTTCTAAATCTTAACTCATCTAAAAAAAATGATCGAGGTGAGCATTCCTTCTGCTCAGCTGCTCAGAAATAAGCTGTATCAGTGATGTCACTTGACCTTCCCTGCAGGCAGCCATTCTGGGGGCAGGCTGTGCTTGCCCCCTTCTCCTCACCATCCACCATTACCTCCTGCCAGGCCAGCTGGGCTTGACCAGGAGCTGTGACCCTGGAGCAAGATTAACAGCAAATACTTTGTGTAAAATGAAATGCCTCTATCTGTCTGCAGGAACATTAAAAGAACTAGGAAAAAATGGTTTAAAATGGCAAAACCCTAAAACTAGTGTCTTACCTAAAGCAGGTTGTCAGCTACAGTCTGTGTTGTCCCTGTAGTCGATGGGTGTGTACTCACTCAGCCCAAGGACATAGAAAGCAATTCAGCTAACCAACCAAACACAAGAATTCTTTCAGGGAAAGCTGAATTGCTCTCCAGACCCACTGGCTTTATTAAGCAGACAGCTAAATCTTATTTGTGATGTCTGTGGGCCCTGCCTGATGTGTGTGTGGCAGACAGGTGGTGTGGCCTGCACAAGGTAAAGGCAAGGCTTTTGTACTGGCCCCAGAGCTCTCTGCAGTGCAAGGATCAATCTGTTCCCAAAAACCTTATGTTTTCAGCTCCAGTTTTCTCCAAGGTGCCAGCAGTGGTCCCATCCTTTTCACAAACAGGAAGACTGCACTTGCTTTGATCCTTTGTTTCTGTGGATGCTTGATCTGCCAAATTGTCACCTTAAATCTCCAAAAACAGAAGTATAGCGTAAAAATAAGATAAGGTGAGGCAATACATTAGTTTCTTTCTGAGAAGTAGAAGTGTTCTGAAGGTGCTTCTGTTGATTCACTGAGTGTGGTGGTTGAGTTCATGCAGTGAATATCATAACAGAGCTACTGCAGAGAAAAAAAAAGGTACCTTTTGTTAATGCTAACAAAATATAATGAGTGTTTTCTTGGTCAAACACATCAAAAGAGTGCAGTTGTCTGTTTGTGGACTGTCAGCAAGTCAGATTCTTATTTCTGGGTTATCCAAAAATGTCTTTAGTTAAGAAACAGCTGGTATTTTCCTCATGGACAAGTTTTTTATCTTGCAAAGTGATTTTTAAACAAATTGGCTCTATTTTGCACTAATAAAATAATGTTATTTATAGAGGTCTTACATGATTTCTGGCTAATGTTTTGTTGACAACTGACTCATTGTATTTCACTCTTTTGTTCTCAGTTTCTTCATTCATATAATTCTTTATGATATTAAGGGAAACAGCTTACCATATTACACAGAAATAGGTTATAAATTGACATACCTTATTACAGATATATATATATATATATAGTTTACATATGTATATTTACTTATCTACAGCATCTAAATGAACTTCTATGGTTTTGGCTGTCCTATAATGTCTAGTAAGAGATCATGAAAGAACCAAGCATTTTTTGCAGATGTGAAAATCCTTTTTTTGCCTATAAAATCACTTCAATAAAAATCAGAAGATGGTTATGACAGATCTGGGTCACTAAGACAATGTGATGTGCACTAGCAAGATGTTAGAAGCAGCAATGTATGGAGCTCTTTTAGAGACTGAGTACAAAGAACCTCCTTGGTTGCCAGGTCTCAGCTCTTTCTGTCATGTCATATCATCTCTTTGGTAAAATGAACAAGCTCTGTCCTTATCCATTACTCACCCCAGAAGATTCTTCTACTTCTGTTATTAGAAACCTTTTATTAGTTCGTGGTTCCATTTTCTTAATGGATGTTTTTTTCCTGTGGCTCCATCTTTTTCTGTTCAAATTTATTATTTTTCACATAGGTGTGATTGGAATCATGTGCAGTATTCCAGATGAGGCCATAGCAGCATTGCTTGCAGTCCTTTCTCAACTCACTTGAGACTACCCAATACTGTGTTGTCACAGCCTTGTTGCTTTAAAAGCAGAAAGAGATCAGGATACTCAGGTCTTTATCCTCTCCTGTTTCCAACTGACAAGTCTCATAGATGAGATTATTCTCAAAAGTATGATCTTCCACTTTGTCCCATTTGTTCCTGTACCTTTTGGAGCAGAGATCAAGCATTTTTTATTACACGAGAAATTGCATTAAGGAGACTTTAAATTAAACTTTTTGAAAGGCTAATTTCTAAAAGCTTCATTGAAATAAGGGGAAAGGTGAAAAACCTTACAAGTGCTCAAACACACTTCAGTGACCCAGACATCAGTCTAGTTCCATAGGAAAGCCATCTGGCTCCAGCTCCTTCTTGAGAAGGATGTTGGCTCATCATTTGTCACAGCTGCTTTCCTTGTTCAAATGCTTGAGTATCTGACAGGTAGGCAACTGAATCCTGGGACTGAGATTCAGGTCCAGATTTGGATCTTAACTGTGAGTTGGGGTCTTCAGTCTAGATGTCTACAAGCGAACTGAATGTGTGTCTGAAATGTCACTGTGAGCTAGTTAATAGGTAAGAAAGAAAATGTGGAAGAGTTGAAAGAAGTAGTAAATTCTCATTGAGAAGACATAATGAGCTCGCTTGCTGAAGGCTTTCTATGTTTTAAAGGAGGACAAAACAAAAAAAGGTAAGGAAGAAATGAGAAATTATAATTATATAATATACTTCTTCCATTTCTTTAATTTTTTCTTAAGCTGTCCATTAAGGTAGTAATGTTGGAAGACAGAATATGAATAAATCTGAGTAAGTCAATAGGAAGCGAGAAATTCAAACTAGTGTAATTTGGCCCACAAGGCAAGGCTTCTCTACCATTTATTCTTGTTGTCTTTGAGGTTCCTTATGTAAATATTTGGGATTTTGGAAGGGTGGTTTGTCTTTGTTATTGCAGTGAAACATTTGCTGCAAGCATGCTGACTAAAGTCTGCTTCGTAATTATTTGCAGTAACAACTCAGCAGTGGAGACTTAGGGATGTGAAACTGCCAATTCTGTATTAATGTGATCTTCTTCTCTCCCTCTCCCAACTGCAGCAAGCACACAGTTGGTGCAGGAAGTCTGCAAAGCAGAACAAGCAGCCATATCCATCTGTGTCAACAGATTCCCACTTCACCACTCTGCCAGCCTTTCTTCCTCAGAGCCACGGATCAGTCTCTGAACAGCCACAGGAAATGGGTCAAAAAAAAATACATCACACGAATGGCCTTGGTCATTATCTTGGTTTCTCCCAGCAGGACTTGAGACAAGGTGATCAAGGAGACTTCACACGCAGATCCAGGAGTGCCTCCAGCATTTCTTGGTCATTTCAACGGAGTAAGTCTCTGTTCTGCTTGCCCACGGTGAACTCCTCTTCAGCGTCAGAGACATTTCATTTCCGTGAACCATTTCAGTTTTTAAGCACTGGGTCACCTGCAAGCAGGTTAAAAACATGGAAATGCAGCCCCAGGCTTAACGTTGATGACTTGGAGGATGCCCAAGAGACTGATGTGGACACAGGGATGAAGCTGTCCTTCTCAGACCTGTCTGTGGTTTCTGCATATTCTGCCCTTAATGGATTTTGCAGTGAGTTGGAAGACTCTCTTCCATCACAGAAACAAACTGTCAGTAGGGCTAAACAGGCAGCCAGCAGTGGAAGGCCTGTATCAGCCATGTGCAATACTTTTGAGTCAGTTGATGGTTCACTGCCTTCTTTTTCAGAATGGTCTTCCAGCTCTTTCATGTCAGCTTCTCTCTCCGAGCAACACACACAGCCCTTGAGAGCAGCTCCTTGTTCTCTGGATGATCGTGTTTGCCCAGCTTCACCAGTTAATGAAGAAGAATTTTACATCTGAGCTTTCTCTATCTTACACCTTCCAGAGGAAACGTGTTCTACTTGTGAATGACAGCCATGGGTCCACCCTGAGCTTACAGAAGGTTCCTTGCTGAGGAGAAGGTGATGCAGAAGTGTGTTAAATATTTGAAGGAAATACTCAGAACCCTCTGAGACTGGCACTCCCAAAATGGGTTCAGTAAAATGTCTGAGCGAAAAGTCTGAGATTGCACCCTGTATCTTTGTCCTGGAGAATATGATCAGCACAGAGGCTTTTGCACAGGAACTCAAGGTGGATGTTTTCTTACAAGCCCCTGGACTGGTGGTGAAGGAAATGCCAGAAGAGGCACATAGTATTCCATTTTAATTTGGCAAAAAATTAAGACTAATTTGTGAAACCAAACTGCTTTAACTTTTCTGAGAAATTCCCTTAACTCAAGAAAGGTGGGTAAAGAAAAGGGTCTTGTTTCCCTTTAACAGGTCCCAAAGGCAGCTCTAAGCACAGCAGGTCTCAGCAGCACAGCCCCAGTAGGGGCAGGCAAGAAGTTTCTTGTGAGGAAACACTTTCCTTCCATCCTTTGAGGGCTGGAAGTGGTGAGAGGGGCAGAATGACACAAACATCCAGGTTGGAAAGGTCTTCACTATCATCTAAGTCCAAGTGACAACCTAGCACTACCATAATCACCCCTAAACCACATCCTCAAGTGCCACATCCTGACACCTCTTGAACACTTCCAGAGACTGACCCCACCAACTCCCTGGACAATTTAGTCTAAGGTCTGACCACCCTTTCAATTAATAGTTTTTTTCTAATATCTAATCTGACCCTCCCCTGGTGCAAGTTAAGGCTGTTTCCTCTCCTCCTTTCACTCAAGATACAGCAGAAGACACCAACCCCCACTTCAGTGCAGCCTCTTTTCTGGTAGTTGTAGAGACCAGTGAGGTAACCCCTGAGCCTCCTTTCCTCCAAACTAAACAATCCCAGTTCCCTCAGCTGTTCCTTATCAGACTTTTGCTCCAAACCCTTCACCACCTCCATTTCCCTTCTCTGGACACGCTCCAGCTCCTCAATGTCCTTCCTGAATTGAGGGGCCCAAAACTGAACACAGGGTTCAAGGTGCAGCTTTCATCAGTGCCAAGTACGGGATCTATCCCTGCCCTAGTCCTGCTGGCCACACTATTCCTGATACAGGCCAGGATGCCACTGGCCTTCTTGGCCACCTGGGCACATGCTGGCTCATGTTCAGTGGCTGTTGACCAGCACCCCCAGGTCCTTTTCCAGCTACTCTTCCCCCAGCCTGTAGCAATGCATGGGATTGTTTTGACCCAAGTGCAGGACTCAGCTCTTGGTTCACCTTACTGAACTCCTCCAGACTGTCCTCAGCCCATCGATCAAGTCTGTCACAATCCCTCTGGAGAGCTTTCCTGCCCTCCAGCAAGCAGAGTAACACTCCCACCCAACTTGGTCATCTGTGAACATACTGAGGATGCACTCAATCCACTTATCAGATCATCAATGAAGATATGAAACACAACTGGCGCCAGTGCTGAGCCCTGGGGAACACCACCAGTCACCAGCAACCAACTGGATTTAGTTCCATTCACCACCACTCTCTGGGCCTGGCCATCCAGCCAATTTTATTCAGTTAAGTCCATCCATCCAAGCCATGAGCAGCCAGTTTCTCCAGAACAGTGCTGTGGGAGACAGTTTCAAATTCTTTCCTAAATTCTGAATAGACAACACCCACAGACTTTCCCTCTCCTACTGAGTGGATCACATTGTCATAGAAGGAGATTAGGTTGGTCAAGCAGGACCTGCTTTTCATAAACCCATGCTGGCTGGGCCTGAGCCCTTGGTTGTCCTGGACATGCCATGGGATGGCACTCAGGATGATCTGCTCCATGACTTTCCCCAGTACTGAGGTCAGGCTGATAGGCCTGGCCTGACTTTGCCCAGATCATCCTTCCAACCCTTCTTGGGCATTACATTTGCTAATTTCCTGTCAACCGGGACTTCTCCAGTAAACCAAAACTGCTGGAAAAGGTTGAAAGGGATTTGGTAAGATCTTTTGCCAGCTCCCTTGATACTCTCCGGTACATAACATCAGGGCACATAGATGTGTGTCTAACTGGGACAGGTCATTACCCTTTCCTCAAGGATTATGGGGACTTCACTCAGCTCCTCATCCCTAACTTCCAGCTGTCATTGCTGGGTATCCTGGGGGCAACTGGCTTTGGTGTTAAATACTGAGGCAAAAAAAGCATTAGGTATCTCAGCATTTTCCTCATCCCTTGACACTGTTCCACCCTGTGCATCCAGCAAAGAATGGAGACTCCTTAGCCCTCCTGTTGCTGCCAATGTATTTATAGAAACTTCTTTGGAAGAAGTGTCACTCCTTCCCCAGGGAAGAGGAAATTCCACTGTATCTCTTACTTGGACAGACCAGAATGAAGAAAGTGCCAAAAGGGAAACCTTAGAGAACATTTTCAGCGCCCTCACCCAGAAAGCCCATCCTTTCCAGATTGAAGGGAGCCCTCTGGACTGTTTTCTGAACCACTTGTACAGACAGTGATAACCTGAGTAACCTGTGTTTGCTACTTCTAACTCAGGCAGTACCACTTACCTTTTTGGAATACAAACCAAGGAAGATAACACAGCTTTTTAATGTATTTCTACACCATTAGACCCAAATAAAAGACAGCTCCCTGCTTTTTAAGGGGTTGTTATTTTTCTGTTAAAAATAATTAATGCAGAAATTTATTCTTCGTATTTCCAGGGCAAACATACTTCTTTCTGGATAAAACTTGTTTCTTCTTGAGTACCTCTCCCCAAATGGAAAACAAGTCAAATTTTCTGCCTTTCAGAAGATGTTTTTAAAGTATGCATTTTTGATAACCTGTTTTGCTCTAATTAAATTGGTGTTTTAAAAAAAGTAAGTGACAAGCTGCTACTATGACAGCTAAGTACCTTCAGCAGGATTTAAGTCATATAAACAGATTTTGTAATGCGTGTTCTGAAAAGTTACGTTTTTGGTTGACAAGTGTCACTGATCACAAATCTGGTTGAGCCACTGGGGAAATGACTGTGTTAAAAGGTGTATGTATAATGCTGGGTGTAACCTATGGTGTAAGTGCTGAAGACCTACCATTGTGGTGTGTGGAATAAAAATTTGTTTTCAGAGAATGATATTTGCTGCATTACCAGGTAATTTTAATCAAAAGAATCTCTGCTTTGGAGGGGAAAGAAAAAAAAGGTGAAAAAGCACACACACATACTGTAAATAATAGTTACAAAAAATGAAACAGCTCCCCCAGCCTGTTTAGGTAAATGCATGGTTTTTACAAACTATTCTGGAAGAAAATCTAGAGGAAAATGAATACAGGTTTTTAGGAGAGGAACCTGCAGCCCGAGTCCAGAAGAGGCCAGAGGGATAGTCTAGGCTTTTTCCTTTTGCTGTTGTTTTCTTCACACAGGAAAAAAGGCAATAAACTGAGGTCCAAGTCTCCTCTCTGTGAGATTCTTTCATAGCATTTACCAGGGGTAGACTTTGTCTTTTGTGCTAAACACAGTGAATAAACAGGAAGATCTGTTCAAGGTGAAGAGCACAGAAGATTACCAGCCTTCTCCTGCCCTCTAAAATGGTTTAGGCTTACTGCAGTTTTGGGTAAACTGTTCTCTTTCTGGGACCAAAAATAGCTCTAATGAAGAATTTGTCATGGTGTGTGTGTGTTTACCTGCTCTATGCTCCTTCAGACCCCACGCAGTCTTTCCTCTGACTGTTGTGACCTTTAGATCAAATCCCCCCGGAACACGTGAACCTGATTTATCTAAAGTTGTATTCCCATGTTATTGTTTGTACCCTGCCAAAATATATATAAAACACTGTGAAGTCAGACTAGCCCTTTTTTCCATCAGCTTGCATTTCACCATACAAACAGTGATGTCTAGGACAGTCAGCGTCCATGGGTTTAAATTTATGCTTCATCATTTTCTGTCCATAATCATGGTATTTTCACAATATTTAATACAGATAACATTTAATCTGGACATGAAATAAAAAACTTGTTTGAGCTGATGTAGCTGTCTGATCCTGGCATCATACAACTGCTGAAACTCCTGACAAAAGCTGATTGGGGTTTTTCTTGAAGAGGAGGCTCTGAACTATCTCTCTGCTAAGGCATGCCTCTAGAAGGAGTCCATCACATCTGGGGACTGTCGCCTGCTGTGGCAGGAAGCACTGGTAGTGGAGATCCACAGGGAAGCACAGGACAGCTCAAGTGTCAGTCATGAGGTTCAAGTGTGTTATTAACCAGCAGCTCCACAAGCATCGCAGTTCCGGATTTTGCCACAATAATCCTGATGGGAAGAGAGCCAAATGAGTGCCCACAGACTGCATTTGTACTGTCCCCACTGGTTCTGTCTCTCTTCTGTTTACTGATACCTAAGTAGAGATTAAAGTTTTAATTGTTTACATTGATGATGCTTGTAACCAAATCATGTGAAAAACGAAGTGTCCTACTGTCAGGAGAAACAGAGGTGATAGTGTACAGAAAACCTTCTGTCTTTAAAAAAAAGCCAGATTATGAAGCGTGTTTCACTGAAGGTAGGCTTCTCTCTTCAGAGACTTGAATAAGCACAAGTTTCATGGCATTTACTTATTGATTTCCTTAAATTATCAACAATGTATTTTGAGAACTGCAGTTTTTTCTGAACTTTCTCCCCTCACCTCAGAATGCATTGCGTCTATGAAATAAAACAGATGAAAAGTCAATTGTACATAACCTTCTGCATGTTCATTTATGAAGTACTGCAGACATACAGAGTATTTTAACTAGGCTTCCAGAATGACTGCAGTGCCACAAGCTCTACAGCTTTTGGTGGTGTGTGTTGGTGGGATAATTACAAAATAAACACAGCAAAAATATTTTTGTTGCACTCAGTTTTGCCTCTGCAGACTGGGTCTTTTGATTCTCACTGTGGTGTTGTACATCATTTTCTCTAGTAAAGCTGAATGATGAAATAGGAGCTGTGACGCATATTGGTAATCTTGCATGCTTAAATCCCATCTGGGTTTGTTTGAGGTACACTGGTTTTCATAATCATCCTTTCCTCTTATTTTCATTGGTGTGTGCTGTTACCTATTATGCATTTCTTTATTCCCTCCATGGGACACATCTGCATGTCAGCACTATGTTGTATATGCAAAGCTGCATAGGTTTGGCTTTGTTTGGTTTTTATGGTTTTATGGTTTAACATTGTGGGGTTTATATATATTTTATGGCACAGAGCTGTAGAGACATCAGGAGTTGGAAGAGGCCTCTGGAAGTCTTCTAGTCCAAAGCATCTGCTGAAAGCAGGCACAAAGCTGCTCAAGCCTTGAGCTTTGGAGTTAAATCAAGTTGTTCAGGACCTTGTCTGGTCAGATTTGAAAGTATGTAAAGGTGGCAATTTCACAGTGTCTCTGGGCAACGTGTGCCAGTGCTTACCCACTGTAATGGCGAAGAATTGCTTCCTAATCTGCAGTGAGAATTTCCCGTGTCCAAAATTGTGATCTTTTCCTCTTGTTTCACTGAGCACCTTTGAGAAATCCAGGGTCTGTCTTCTCTATAATCCCACTTTAGGTGCTGGAAGACTGCAGTTGCTCCTTCAGCCATGGTCTTCTCACTCCCTGACCCTCTGAACTCTCTCAGGTTTGTCAATATCACTCTTGTATTGACGATCCCAAAACTCTACACAGATGTATGGGTGTGGATGATGAGTGCTCAGCTGGCAGAAAGAAGAATTTCTGTCAACCTGATGGCAGCTCCCTTGCTTAAAACACCCAGTATCTTGTTGTCCTTATCACTGCAAGATTGCCCTGCTTAATCATGTTCAGCTTGCTGCTTCCTGGGACTCCAAGGTCCCTTTCTTCAGAGCTGCTCCCTAGCCAGGAGATGCTTCCTCCAGGTGTAGGGCTTGCATTTGCTTTTATTAAACTTGGTGAGGTCCTGACTGGCACCTTTCTCTAGCCAGTGAAGGTCTCTGGTAGCCCAGCCCTTCAGTGTATCAGTCATGGCCATCACATTGGCCAGTTTCTGTTGCACTGTCACTGGTAGCCCAGCCAGCCCCGTGGACTTGGGTATGTGCAGCTTTCTGCATCCCTGACTCAGTCTTCTAGTGTGATTAGTAATTTTCTCCTTAAAACTTTGCTAGATACAGACACATGGCAGGCCTAGCAGAACGTCTTGTGAGTGACAGCCTTGTGACTGAAGGCAGAGGTTTTTCCAATTAGCAGATTTTTCCAGTTACAGAAGACAGGAACTTTTCTAGCCTGTCCTGAATAACTCCTGGGTTATTTAAAGAAGGTTCTATCTGTCTTTCTTTCTGGATTGATTGAGTTGTGGGAGATGCCCACAACAATATCCCTTTTGTTACTTCTCCTCACCCATCAGCTCTTGAGTTTCTCACCCTCTGCTCCCTCACAAAAATGCACAAATTCGTGCCACTCAGTTGCTTAGAGCACAAACCTCATCACCATCTTCCACCCTTCCATAAAGAACCTGTATCCAGCCATGAGAGCTCTGGATCCAACTGCCTCATCATATCTCTAAATCATCTGCTTTTACATCCTGAGAGTGCTGAGGTCTTCCAGGAGTGATTTCCAGGTTCAGCAGCCTGAGCTTTAGCACTGGCCATTCCATCTGCCCAACAGAATAGAGCTACTCAGGTGTTGGACAGACAGTCCCAGCTCACAAAGGGCTTGAGAAGCAGTTTCAAGCAGTGCATGTGTTATCTACTGCAGAAATCAGATTGCTGTTTTTCCTATCAAGCTGAGAAGTCTTAACCCAGTAACTCATTCTTCATAGGAAAACCATTCCATGCTTTTGTTTGTTCTTGTTACCCCTCTGTTACCTTTCTGTTCTGTGTGCTTTTTGAACTAGAAGGTCCATAAATACATATAGGTTTTGGAGATTAGATTACTGTACAAATGTACAGAACAGCTTGAAGGTGTTTTCCATTTTATTCTCTGTTTCTCTCCTTGTAATGGAACTTGCTGCTTTGGCTGCAGCTGAACACTGAGCTACCCTTTTCATAGATATTTACATAGCCCTAAAATCCAATTCCCAAGCAGAAGAGGTCAGTTGAGACCCTACTATCATGTATATAAAATTAGATATTTTTTAAATGTAATTAATTTTAGAATTAGCTACGTTGAATTTCATCTGCCTTTTTATTGCCCAATTGCTGTCTATTGTGAGATTTTTCTGTAGCTTCCTCTGTTGTTCATCATCTTTACTGTCTTGGGTGCTTAATAACCTCAACAAACTCCCATCTCACAAAGCCCCCCTTTTTTGAGGTTTAAGTCATGCTGAGCAATGTAAGCTTGAGTACAAATCCCTGCATGACTCCACTGCCAACCTCCTTCCACTGTCAGAGCTGGCTATTTATTTCTACCTTCTGTTTCCTGCCGTTTAATCAGCCCTTTATTCACATAACCTTACCTCTTAAACCATCACAGCAGGATTTCCTGTAAAGGCTTTGATGAAGGGCTTTGGAAAACTCTTCTTAGCTCTACACCTATTTGTTGATGCCTTCTGAAGCCCCAAAAATATTTAAGAGGTGTGATTTCCTTTTATAAAACCATGTTGACTCTTCCCCCACCCAAAAAATCCTCAAACTTATCTCTGTTTGGTTAATGACTTGTCTCTCATCTGAGTCCAGGTGTCATTTGAGTACAGAGCAATCCTCCCTGTGGCATTCTTTCCCAGCTTCCAGGATTCAGCATAGTGCAAATTGCTAAATTTACACAGAGTCCAGACTTCCTGAGCCAAAAACTGCTCAGATCACTGTGGGACCAACTGCTACATTGTGCTACCAATGGATTTATCCTCCCTCAATTTGTCAGATTTCTTGTTGAATCTCTCTTAATTTCTCAGGTTTCCACAGCAGCTCAGGGCAATGAGCAGCACTGAATTCATTCCTTACATGAGAAGTGAGACACATTTATTTGCAGCCTTCACCCAGACAGTTTCACTGAGCACTTTCTATTCCAGAAGTCAATGCAGGCTTCTGGGCCATGTTGCCTTCAGTAGCTGGGAAGGATTGTGTCCCCCTGGGCTCAGGAACCAGCGGGTTGTGAGGCAGCTGTGGAGGAGTCCAGCTGCTTCTTTTGGAAAGCCTTGCAGCATTCCAAGACATAAATCCTGTGGTGGAATATGTCTCCAGTGGTAAATGAAAGTGGGAGAGGGAGCAGGTTCAGACACTGGGTTGTTTGATTTCTCGTTGTCTCTGTTTTGGACCACTTCAAGCAGCTTTCATCAAGACACTTCCTGGTGGAGCCCTTCATCCTTAGGACTGTTCCCACTATGGAAGAGGCTACATCAAGCTTTGGCCTCTCTGTGTCCAGCATTCTCCCACCAGGCTTTTTGCATCTTCCTGTCATCCTATGTTCCCTTGGACATCCCACAACATGAAACTCAGCCTCTCAGGGTCATGCTGTAAAAATCACCTCTGAGCTGGGCTGCAATGCATCCTCAGTTCGGATAACAGCAGATCCTAAGCAGTGCACAGTGGGCTGGTTGTGTCCCAGAGCAGAGCAGATCCTGCGGCAGGCCAGCAGCGATGCGGTGTGCCCAGTGACCTGGGGGGCATCCCCGAACGGTGTGGACGCAACTCAAACCGTGCTGGGCTGGCCTTGGAGCTCAAAAACAGTGTTCAAACTGCTGCTATTTTATTTTTTTTAATCAATTTACAGATAGGCAGTGTTGCTTCAATTTGGCTGCAGAACGGGAGTTTTAGAGGGGTTCGCGGCTGTGCAGGTGCATCCTGCCCCTGCTGTGGCTCAGCCTCCTGCAGTAAGGCACGGCTGGCGTTTTAATCAGATTTCCTTTTTGATCATTTTCCTCCTGAATATACGGTGCCTAAAATGGGAAAATAGCTTGGTGGGTGGAGGTCATTAATCCAATCTGCCTGTCATAAATGAAAGCTGCCGACTTGACGGCACACAATGAAACGGCGATGGCCATGGCCAGAGAGTCGGCAGGAGTCGCCCCGCTCCCAGCGGCGGGGCCGCGGCGGCGCGGGGTGCGGGCTCTGTGTGTGTGCCACCCCGGGAAGCCACCCCGGGAAGCCACCCCGGGAAGCCACCAGCCTGCGCGAGCGCCTAGTGCCACCTCGCGGTGCCCGCCCGCCCAGGGGACAGCACGGGGCTGCCAGCCCGAGTGGCATCGGGGGACACCGGGGGAACCCTCTGGCTCCGGCTCCGGCTCCGGCTCGGGGTGCCCTGATCCCCCCGCTGCCCTGCAGCTCAGCCTCGGCTGCTCGCAGGGTCCGCGCTGCGCTCCCGCCCCGCCGCTCCGCTGCTCTCCCTCCCTTCCCGCAGGAATCTGGGGAGCAGGATAAGCCAGGGATAACCCAGTGAGCGGCTCCATGACCCGAAGGGCTCTGCCGTGGCTTTCCCTGCGCCCCAGCCCGCGGGGCTGCTCTTGGGATGGAGCCGAGCATCCGCTGTGAGCGAGCCCCTGAGCACGGCACGGTAAGCCGGCTGCCTGTCACGAATTCTTCTGTTTACTTTGATGAAAATTTCAGCCCTCCTGGTACGGAGATAATCTGCTAAGTATGACCCAACTCCTGCCAAGACAATGCTTCTTGTGAGGTTAGCAGTGCTACTGGAGAGCTCCTGCCCCTTTAGGTGTAATGAACCTGGGGACAGGGCTGCCCGGGACAGATACTCTCTAAGAATGCAACACATAATACCAATTTTATAATTCCTCTTGCTTCTATGAATTAACTGTTGCATGGACATATTTTTATTTAAGCTGGACTGTGATTAGGAGCAAGAGGGGTTTTTTCACATGGTTTACCATTATACGGTTATAGTCCCACTTTTCCCTACTTTTGGGGTTTTTTTTGTCACAAGAAAGCAAAGCTTTAACTAATTACTCTGTGCCAGTGCTTATGGAATTTGACTACAGTGTCCCCCTGTTGTGCCACATAAAGCCACAGAAATGCAGCATCTGCCCTTCAAGTTTCCCTCCCTGACACTTTGCTGCCTTGCTTTCATTCAAGAGCTGATTGTCCTATGGTTTTCCCACAGGATGGGTGAGGATGCTAGTGGCCAGCCTGCCATGTGTGTAAAGACTGCAGAAGTTTTGAAGGAAGGACTTCTGGGGCTGCCTGAGGCAGCAACAGATGCAACCACTGCCAAGTGTGCCACTGCCAGAGAGCTGGCCATGAGGTCAGGGTAATGTTGGGACAAGCCAGAGGGCAGGAGAGGAGCAGAAAGATGGGAATTTTCTAGCCTCAGATTGTGAACTAGTACAAGCATGTGGGGCTGTGCAATATCCCTTTCTTTGAGGAATTAGGATGAGATAGGGAATGTGCAGGGAAGCCATCAGCCCTGGAGGATAAGGATGCTGAAGCTGTCAGGTTGTCAGCAGGGCCCAAGTGCACAGTGTTTTCCAGGTTTCCAGGATAATCTTTACTCTGGGCTGGTTTGCTTTTCCAACCACTTTCTTTGCAGATGGGTTATTTTGGATTCATGCTGCCTGTCCCCACAGATGCTCTTTTCCTTGTTTCCTTGTTTCCTTGTTTCCATCTCCACCAGCTCCCTGACACAAGCTTTGTCTCACCCCTCCAGACAGGTCCCAACTCTGAGGCTGCACTTGCAGCTCCATGTCCAGAATGAAGCAGGGCAGGACCCAGGGCTCCTTTCTTTTCCTGCTCACTCCTCTCTTTAGCACCTCCTCACTAAATCCACTGGCTTTGGTACTTACCTTAACCTCTAGCAGGCTGCAAGGGGCAAAACTCTGCTTTCAGCATCCCTGGGAGTCGTTCAGTAACACCACAGGGATGCAGCAGCTGGTGTGCTCTGTTCTCTGCAATGGAGGGTCGTTGTCTCTTAGACATGCCAGGTCATCAGAACATTATCTGGTGATGACATTTTTGGTAGATGGCCCAAAGAAAAATTGGCTGCTCTCTGGAGTGACAGCTAGATTTCAGTCTGACATGAATGAAGAGCATAGCAAGATGGAACAGATTTTTGCTCCAAGTCTTCTCTGCTGATGTGTTAACTTTGGCAGTATCATTTGGAGAAAAAGTGAATTAATCTTATTCAAATTGTGTACAAAATGGGGAAGGAACAGAGGGGAAAAAAAAGGATGTGTGAATCTATGTTGATTATTTTGAAGCCATAAACAAGTGGCATCAGAAAAGATTTTGACAACCATATGGACTTTCAGAAGTGTGAAATCTTCTGAAAATGATGTGCAATCATCTAAGGGCTGGCAAAAAAAAAAGAAAAGAAGACAAGATATGGATGGATGAGATGTACAGACAGCAGAGTGCAATCTGTGATAAAGGAGTTAAGATTCTGGGTACATGAGAAAAATATTACTAGAAAACATTATATAAATTGAATAAAATTAAAATAAATTGCATAAGAGAATTCTCCCAAAGGTAATAGAAATAACAATCAATCATATTTCTTATTGCTGGTTTTCAGAACTAGACTCTGGGGAACAGCAGTCTCAGGGATTGAGCAACAGCTTTCCACTGAAATAATGATTGTTTTTCTGGGAAGCTTCACTGAAGATGCCACACGCAATCTGGATTTTACACGGGGCAGAAACCACAGGTACAAGAGTGCAGGTCCTGCTGAAGGGCATCAGCTGCTCTGGCTGAGGTTGAGAACTGCTGTGGCAGTGCAAGGTGATGTTCCCCTGATGTTCCCCAACGGGACACTTTTATCCCAGAGCTTGGGAAGTGCTGCCTGGGAGGCAAGCAGGATGACAAGAAAGCAGATTGGCAAATTTTGTAGCTTTGGTGTGGCACATTTCCACACAAGCTGTACGTGCATGTGGCAGGGGCATCCCCGTGGGCCACATGAAGGTGCAAGATGTGACACACACCGGAGGAGTTCAGCGCTGTCCTGGGGAAGCAGGGCTATTGCCAGGGGCAACTCATCAGATCTGAACAAGGGCCACCATGCTGCCTGAGGTCTTACCTGCTAGGGGGAGAGAAACTTGAGAGGTCTGGGCTCTCTCTGGGATCTAAGTTCAAATGCCAGCACTCTGAGCCTTTTTACAACCTGAGTGTTTGATGCCTTTCCCCTTTTAGTTATCACAGTGCACAATAACGTGAGACACAAATTGCAGCAAAATACTTTTCAGATTTGATTTATAAATGGCTCTGGTTTGCTTCTGACTTCAGCTTCCCCTGTGCAGCATTCTAGGTTCAGATTCTGGTTTGTATTTCTTGTTGCATCATGAGAGAATGGGAAAAGCAGATGAAAGGTGAAAAATTGAAAGTGGAAAACAAACCAGCTATGCCATCTTGAAGCAGGAACAAAACTAGGCTGAACTCTCAGATGAGAAATTATTTTTCATGGGAAAACACAGATCAGGGCAAGACTTGTCTTTTATGTATCAATAGGGGTGTATGATGGGTTGAAATAGATGATGGATATGAAATGAATCTGTTTGCATAGTTTGAACATTGCTAAAGTACAGCATCTGTGCACTGGATATAATATACACCATCCCATAGTCTGATACTCTGAGTCCTCTTCCCATTCTGCAATACTTCCATTGGACCTCAATCTTTAAGAAGTCAGTACACACCCAAAAAAGTTCACACACATCTTACATTTTTTCAATATATGTCTTCTAAATATATCCTTCCTTTCTTTCCCTTTGCCTTTCACCCAACAGTCCTTTGTTGTTTGGTGACATTAGCACAGCCACCAATAAATTCAGTGTCTCAGGGTCTCTTTCCACCACTGCAGGTGGTACTTAGAGTTAGTCTTAAGAGGTTCCAGCAAGAAAGTGTCACTGAAGAGAATGTGATGAACTGTATAAAGAAACTTTTTTTGCTATTTGAAAAGAAAACTGAGAATACTTTATGATGCCATGATCTGTATTTTCATACTCTGGAGTGACAGGCCTAAAGAAAAGCATATCAAGACCCTCCCTTATTTCTTTATTTAATGAGGTATGGGGTTTAGCTGAGGAATTTAAATGATTGACTGGGAAGTATTTGAAATTCTTGAGGGTCATAAAGATCAAGGCAAATGGATCAATCCAAAATAATTAATTTTGACACTGTGACAACTGCTAGTGCTTTCTTTTTTCCCTCAAACAATCTATGAATATTTTTTTTCTCTTCTTGAAATGCTGAAGTCTTATTTTTCAAGGAACTGCAACATTAAATGTACCCATATTTGACAAGAGCACTTGAAGATGGCTGTAGCTGTTCTATCTCTAAAAGAAAAGAAACACTGAAAAAGAAAAATGTCTTAATTCAATATCCATTCATTCATTAGCTGATCCTTTGACACTTTTTCCTAATTAATAGAGTTGTTATGAGACCAAGCAGCAACAAACAGACATTAAGCATGAGGTGAAAAAAAAGCCCTGAGACATGAAGGTTTTACATTTAATTACAACAGTCATGAAGAGTTCATATGTGCTGTGCCACATCTCAAGCAGAATCAATGCATGGTCATGCCCTTGAAGGAGAAACCTTCACCAGACCAATTAGCTTTTTAACACTTTTTCTTCTCTATTACTAGCAGTGTGCATGATGAAACAAGGTAGTTCAACAGATAGTTTTTAATTTTGTTTTATTCCAGAAAACAGATTCACTGTTTCCAAACATACAACCTCGGGGGCTGGGAATACAGCAGTGCTGAGAGTCTCACCTTGAAAGGCATCTCTGGGCAAAAGTGCACAGGGAACAACTCCAGGTGGAAGATCTGCAGCCATCCTGTAGTGAATGCACATGCCTTCTGTGTGGCTTCACACAACACCCTCAACCACATGATGTCCCAGTCTTCCCAAGGAAAAATTGAGAATAACCTTGTGTCACCAAGCATAGCTCTAATATAGTCCTGCTTACTGTGGAGAAACGTAAACAAAACAATGTTATTTTATTAGATGCCTGTTCCAGCAGACTTCTGTTTAAAGGAGGAGAAGGCAGTGCTTGTTTTTTGTAGGAACTGGCTCTGCATTACAGCCTTGAAAGCTCAGCTTGGAGTCAGCTCTCTTTCCCTGCCTGTCTCCAGCTGTGTCAGAAAGAGCTAATGGCTGCATACCAGGCAGGCTGCACACTGATACAAGAGAGATCAGCTTCCCAAAATTACTGCATCTCTGGGGATTATTTTACCTCTCTTAATCTCCAAGAGCTACCATGCCTCAGAGAGGAATACTTCAGAATTGAGGGGAAAAAGAGAAGAATGAGCTTGGAAAGCAAACACTACCCTGGAAACCAGCACTTGTTCATGTGAGTACATGCTTGCCTACTCCCATGGCCTGAGCTGGCTTTTGGCTCTACTCTTTGGAGCAGTCTGAACAAAGGTAAACCCCAAGCAGGGAACCTCACTATGCTCAGAGGACTGCAGGTGCCCTGGTCACCACTTTAACTAAAGAAATTCCATGTATCTCCTTTGTGAATTTGTCTTGTGCTAGCTAGGATCAGCAAGTTAACTTTTCAGGATCCCATTTCTGGGACATTGTTCTCCCCTGACTTTTGTTCTGTTATTTCCTTGTTCTTGACATCTGTATGAACATTTGCAACAATATAGAGTAAATAATTGAAT